TATTGGACCAAAGTTATTCAAATGGGAGAACGTTTACCGCAATCCTTGTACGAGAATGAGAAAAATGACTGTTTGCCGTCCTGTTTTGGCTTTTTTGGCTGGTCCACCATCACCACTGGTTTTTGCTACTGCAGTGGAGAGCAGTACCATTGGGAGCCACCCTCAGAGGCTCAAAAGGAATACAGAGCTTCAAAATTGAATTTTTCAGAAGAAAAGCTAGCGTTATAGATGGATCATACCCTCTTATTCTTGGGTGACACAAGGCACTATGGGCAAAATCAACAATTCCATATTTGATGCAGCCTGTCACTAGTTTAACACAGATTTCCATTTTTTTTTTTTTTTTTTGCCCATTAACACCAATTGCTTTGCAGTAACGCACTTTACACATGCTGGTGCGCCATTCATTGTGTATGGCACCCCCACACATCCCCAAAAGGCATGTGTGCTGCAAAGCAGCAAATGGCATGGTGTCCAGTATGATGTACTGTGAAAAAAAAATGTAGACCGCATTTGATTTTCTGTGCACTGAAGGAAACAACACACCTCAACGCATGTGGTGCAGGACACTGCACTGTGGTGTAAATAGGTCCTGAGTAACAATTTCACTAATGGTTGATCTTACCAGTTCCTTTGTTTCCATACTTCCTGTAACAGAACAAGTTGTCTAGCAAAACTGGCAGTTACAGGGGTTGGGAAATACTATTGGGTTATTCACAAAGTTAGTTAAAGTATCAGCCGTAGCTTTAGTTGATCCTTCGGCTAGTTTCGGCCCCAGGACCCCTTCGGTTGAGTAGAACCGAAGGGCTGCTGTACGGGCTATTCACTTGAGCCCGTACAGCTCCCGAAGCTGGTCGAGCGGCTTAGTCGAGCCAAAGGCATATGCTTCGGCGTCTGAAGCGGGCCAAACAGCCGGCTGAAAGCCTCGCTACTGGCAGCTGGGCGGAGCCAAATCCAGCGTCTCCACTCTGGATTCACAATAAATATTGGGTCGATACACAATATTTTATTCACTTTTCAATAACCTTTATATTTAAATGAAAAGCTATTCCTTTATTCAATGCTCTGGGCGCCAATATTCAAGTGCAGTTGTTTTCAGATCTGCAGCCAAACACTCATGGGTAGTTGAAAGCAGAAGTAAGGTCACAGTAACGGACAACAGACAAATGGAGCCTGGTCCTATCATTCCTGTTAGAGGGTACACTAGCAAGTGTGCCATAATGTGCAAGTATATTGTGCATACTTTATGATGGGAAAAGCCCACACCCACTTTACCATTATCCGTCCAATACCAAGGCCTTGTTCACACTAACTTAAGCTTTTGTTAGGAGAGTGTAAAGCAAAGTTTTATGTAAAACCGGTGTATTTTCCCAGGCAGGGAGCCAGAGGTGTTGCATACAGCCTCCCATACAAGTCAATGGCTGTACGCAGCTGTAGGGAGGTATACATCAGGACTTCCATACACCTGCACATGAACATACAACTTTGGAAGCAACCGGTTCCCAGAGTAGTTGCAAGTTCGTGCACATGTGCGGGTGTATGGAAGTACCAGCATAAACCCGCCTACAGCCATTGACTTATATGGGAAACTGAACACAGCACTGTGACTCCCTGGTAAAGAAAATACATTGGTATTCACCGTCATACCGTACGTGGGGTGCGGCAAAAAAAGAAGAAGTAGTGTGTGCACCTTTTTTTTAGCCGCGCTGCATGGTATTGCAGTACCAAGCGTTGTATTGTGGCCGGAGATGCGCTATTCAAATGAATGTTAACGCAACACCACACACCTCCTGCACTGTTAGGCACAGTGGGTGCGTTACACGGTAGCATGCATTAAGTGTACAGAAGCGTGCAATGAACACATTATGGTGTGAATGGGCTGTAAAGTGTTAGCTTGGGTTGGACTTTAACTTGCTTGTCTTTTAAAGTCAACCAAATCACTAAAATCTCAATGTTTAACATCCTAATGTAATTTTTAATCTACAGGTTGAGACTTCCTGAGACTACCTGCAACTGAAAGTGGGCTCTGTGAGACAGACACTGATTGCCTGTAGACAAGTAAATGGCGTTTCTGCCTTTAACAGAACACACCCTTGGCCACATCAGACAGGAAGTAGCGGGGAACTAGACGGCCAATTGGACCTGCAGGAAGACTGCGCCAGTGTACTGGTAATTATGTTATTGTTCCTATTAGTTGTTTAGGAGGTAGCTCAGAGAGCAGGTGGCCCCACATTAAATTTCTGATTTCTAGCTCCACTCTAGAAACCTACATTTCATATATACGCACGCACGCACACACTTAATACAAACCTCTTGCACCACTTCCGTCAATACTTCCACATGTTCAGGTGAGGCAAGAACTTCTGGTGAACAGGGTACACTGATGATTGGGATGGTTTGTGCTTGAACTTGTACAGTCTGTGGTTGGGGCTGCAAAGGAGGGGGTATAATTTTGATCTGCAATGGGGGAGGCTGAACACTGAGTCTCACTTTCTGCATTGGCTGGAGAGGTGGAGGGGGCTGCAGGATAGTGATTGTAGGCTGGTGAGCAGGTGCCATCTGTTGTAGACGTGGTGGTTGTTGCATCTGTTGTAGTGGTGGAGGCTGTAAGCGTGGAGGCATCTGCATCGCTGCCTGTAGTACTGATCGTGTGACTCGTGTCTGAGGGCTGGGCTGCAACTGGTGGAGGGGTAGGCCACGAGAAGTTACCACAGTAGCTGGAATTACTGTCACCATGCCCTGAGACATAGCAATAGATGTGGGGATCTGCCCCGCCTGGAGCATCTGTTTGGAGATTATTATTTTAGCAATGCTTGGCTGGGGAGCAATGGCTTGTGGGGGAGTGGGTGCAGGAGGTGGTGTTGGTACTTGATTAACTGATGGGGTAGAAGGCGAAGAAGCACTCTGGGGTATACTGGCTGCAGTTACGATAGAGGGAGAATGAACCGGTGATTCAGGCAGTACAGCTGGTGCACCAGGAGGATCCAAATCCAGAGTCTCCACAAGAACCTATGCGCAATAAATATTGGGTCAATACACACTATTTTATTCACACTTTTCAATAACCTTTATATTTAAATGAAAAGCTATTCCTTTATTCAATGCTCTGGGCGCCAATATTCAAGTGCAGTTGTTTTCAGATCTGACAAATGGAGCCTGGTCCCGTCATTCCTGTGTGCCATAATGTGCAAGTATATTGTGCATACTTTATTATGGGAAAAGCCCAAACCCTCCCCCACTTTACCATTATCAGTTCTCTACCAAGGCCTTGTTCACACTAACTTTAGCTTTTGTTAGAGGAGAGTGTAAAGCAAAGTTTTATATAGCATTTGCAGAGCTTTCAGCAAGCTTCAGGCAGATTTGGTAGTCTTAAAAGCATCACCCAGAAAGGGTATGTTAACCCCTCGCCGTCCACCCATCATAATAATTCGGGCAGACAGAGGATGCTTCCCGGCGGGTGGACGTACATTTGCGTGATCACTGATAACACGAAACTGATGAGCGGTAAATGCTTCTAAAGCGTCGCCTATGGCCAATTTTAGCCATGGTAGTTTTTTTTGCGATTTTGTTGGCACACGCAAATTTTAAAGCTTGACATGTTTGGTGTCTATTTACCCGACCTCACCCAGTCTTTTATATTTTACCCAAAAATTGGTGCTGATAAATGTTTTACAACATAACGGAGGGAAAACAAGTTTGTTTGTTTTTTCAAAATGTTTGGTTCTTTTTTCGTTATATAGTAAAAAAAAATTTAAACCCCAGTGGTGGTTATATACCACCAAAAGAAAGCTCTATCTGTCCTAAAAAAATGGTATAAAATTTCAGTGCAGCGTTGCATGACAGAATATCAGTCAAAGTACCGCAGCGCTGAATACTGAAAAATGGCCTGGACAGGAAGGGGCCTTCAAGTGGTTAAAGGAAGTGCTGGCTGCAACTTTAAAACAAGCAGTGCTCAAGTCTACAGATGCTCGCTAGAAGCTTGTTTAATTGGAGAGTTAACACTCCCATTAAGATCCGTGTTTAATCCCCTAAACTGCTGCTGATTACGTCATTTTCAGGCCTAAAATGTGGAATATAACATGGGTGCAAAAATGGAAAAAAGGGCCTCAGTCATGAAGGGGTTAAATACTTTAACAATGCTTTCTTCTGGAACATGATGCTCATGTGGAAGGCCATAAGGACAATCTCCTGTTTACAGCCATGACAAGTTTAACAGTAATCACATCAATATATCTAATGAGAAGATAGGAAACCCTGACCTCTCAATGAAATTCAAGGGCTAAAATGCGGTCACCGTCATAATGGCCCAAAGAACACATAAGGTTCTTTTTAAGCTAAATAAGGCAGCTTTACCTGTGACATCTGATTTTCCTTGTACAATGCCAAAGCCTTAAGATAATCCTTTTTGGCTGCTTCTGTCTTTCTTTTATAAACCTAAAAAAATAAAACAGTGACAGAGTTCATTTCGGAACATTGGTAATACAGTTTTTTTTTTTAAACAACTTTTTTTATATTTATATATAAATTTCCCAACGGCATGTTTGTGATGCCACATTAAAATTACAGCTGTAAATTAAATAATAAAAAAAATAGCAAGGAATTATTAATTCTTGGATCGGTGGATTGAAAAAACATTGATTCAAACATAGCAAGGAACTGAAAATCGAACACCTGTCCACATTGTTACCTGCTTCTGTTCCTCTCCGAGGCTGTCCCACATGGAGGCCACAATTTTAGACACCTCCCCAAATGTGGCATTAGGGTTTTGTCCTTTGATGGCAGCCTGCGTGTCACGAAAAAATAGTGCATATGCAGAAAGAGGTTTTTGAGGCTCATTGGGATCTTTCTTCTTCCTTTTCTTAGAGGCTTTCTGTTTCTTGGTTTGTTCTACAACAACATTCTTAGGAGCAGTTATCTGTGAAGCACAACAGCAAAGGTCACATTATCAAAAGCTTCCACATGATTTTAGCACAGAGTGATTTGGAAATACTTATACTAACCCTCCTGAAGTCTTCCATGTCTTCATCATGCAGAGAGCTTGTTGGTGAGGGAGTAGGTGACAGGTGATCCTCGGGAGACTGGACCGGAGGCAAAATAGTACCACCACCAAGGCTCAAACCAAGTTGGCTGCTTAGCTCCGATTGGTCAATGGTTGTTAACTGACTGTGAGCCAGAAGACCAGATGATATGTCTGTCATTGTAACATCAATGGTAACCGGTGGGTTGGCACTGTAAGTGGTAACAATGGGATGATCCAAATCCTGCATACGAACAAATGGAATGAAACATCCTATTTTTGTTTGAAGTGTAATAAACATATTGCTGTGCTGCACGACTGAATGTTTACCATGGTTAGTCCGGATCCAAGCAGTCCACCAGTCTGTTCTATCACTTCGTGGGACATTTCCACTGGCATATCTAATGTCTGCACGCCATACTGTGCTGCAAATGCTCCTTCTTGAACAGCTGTAGGATCCCCAAGGTCATCAAAGTGTCCAACTACATCAGTGACTGCCAGGGACGGGTCAGAATCTAAAGATATGGGAGGAATCTCAAATTCCTCATCCCCTAGGCTTGGTGTATGAAATGTCTGTACAGAAGGATAACGAAAAAAAAGAAAGAGAGACACATGGTTTAGGTACTTGCAGAAGCATAAAGGGCGTGTGCTAACTTTGAATTGCTAACTGTACTAGAATTGCCATTTCCCCCAGTTCTATTCTTTATTGACAGTAGGTAAAAGTGTACAGAGTCCAAATGTAACACTAAGCATTAAAGGGCCCACCCCAAAGTGATATTTCAGATACATGAAGAGTATGGGGAGCAGAGTCAGCCACTGGCTACTTATATATATATCTTACATCTTCTAGCAACAAAATCTCTCTTCCAGAACTCCTGGCTCTGTCTCTGCTTACCTTTGCATGTTCAAACACCTCCTATTGCATTATACAGAATGCAAAATAGAAAAAAACAAAATAGGAGCGAAATAAAAGCTAAAGCAGGCATGTTGCCCTAGGAATTCAGGTGCAGCTATATCCCCCCATAGACTCTCAAAAGGATACAAGAAACGATCAGGTGATTTAACTTTCCGGCATGTACCAAAAAATAAAAAAAATAGCTGTTCTGGGTGAAAGGGCCCATTTAAATAAAAATGACCTTATGTATTTATCTCTGAATTAAAAAGGTATATAAAATATGAATACAAGCTCTTGAAAATGTAATAATAATAACAAAATATAGCATTAAAAAAACCATGTAGTTTCCACAGCGTTTATGGAAAGCAGGCAAGCATGCACAGCCATTCACCAATGCAACATAAAGATGCATGATTTTTAAAACACTATTCTTAAAGGTGCACTTTGCTTTCTCCATACAAAATGTATTTATGGAAATCAGCAACCATTTATATCGGGTCACAATCCTGTATGGTTCTGCAAAACAAAATCAGCAAATTATCTTACTAAGCTGTTGTCAAAAAGATGTACTCTGACAGTTTCTTTTAAACGCTAATCAGACAGAAGATACCAGAGAGATACAAGGTACAACTGTCAGTCTCCATTCACACGAGCGGTTTTCCGCACGTATTCGCGCATGCGGAAACCCGCTAAACATAAAAAGCAATGCGTCGCAACGTGCATTGTTCAGACTATTGTGGCGGCCACACAGTACGAAACCACGCCTCCCGCAAAATACTCCATGTGTGATTTTATGGGCGTTCTGGCTATACTAATATAAACAAATGTGCAGAATCCGCGCGCATATTACCGTTTTCCCAGCATGAAAAACCACACAGAAACCGCTATGTGTGGCTGGAGCCTCAGGGTCCATTCACACCATATGCTTTTAACCTGTGCTGGCTACTGTTTCCAGCACAGTCCCAAAGCAAGACAAGGCAAATTGCCTAGTCACGGAAGGTGTGCATTCACACCACCGCGTTGCGGTAGAAACACGTTGGTGTGCACTAAAAAAAATATATAATAACGCATGCCTTACTTTTTTCATTGCAGCAGGATGCCACGCTGTACAACCACCTACATGCCCATAGAATTGAATGAAATGGCATTTGTGACATTTCAACAACAACAAAAAAACTACACAGTGCAATGTGCTGGGATCAGCACACACAAGATATTGTGCGATTAGTGTAGCGTTTGGTGTGAATTGGCCCGTACAGGCAAACTGATAAGTTAAAAAAAAAAGAAAAAGATAGCAAGACACCAAGAGAAAACACACACACACACACACACACACACACACACAATTATGACAATTCTTTGGTCCAAAAGCTATGTACAGGGGTGAGAGATGAAGTGATTGAACACACTGATAATCTTGCCATTCTTGCAGAAATAACATTTAGCTGGAGGATTGCATTGCTGAAGTATCCAGAATTATAAACAGAGTGAAGGCATACCTAAAGCTTGCTTACTCCTCAGATGGTTTGTCTGCTCTACCCTTCCCTGAAGCCTACTTCCCCAATTCTATTAAACCCAGTGTCATGTCTACTCACATGACCTGTCCAATCAGCTTGTTACACATTCGTTTACTTATCAGCTAACACTTCCTCTTTCCTTAACAGAACACATCCTATGTATTGCTTCCTCTGGAGCTCATCTAAAATATATAGCTTTAGCCATTTCCTTTTATATAGGCATTCTATTGCATAAAACTAAAAGCGAGTATCAATTGTTACCACAACATCCAAAATACATTCACTCCACGCCTAGCAATTGACATTATTATTACAGATGACATGATACACCTTATAGTAGCATTTTTATTCATGGCATGAAAAAGGTATTTCATTTACTCAAAATATGTTATTGCTCACATGTGACATACTGATTCATTATAAGGAGATCCTATACCTATTAAGATAAACAGGTTGAAGTGCCCACAAAACCAAATAAGTCAGACTGCTCGTGTTTGTACATTCTTTGCTTTCTACTAGACAAAGACCTTATAAAAATCACCTCTGGGAGTGTCTGAGGCCCTGAATTCCAAGCCCTGACATTGGTCAGAAAAGCCTTAACTGAACTGCAAACAATGTCAATGTAGATAGTACAAAACTTACCAGAGTTTAGCTTTAAGGGCTAAAAAAAAAAAAACACTCTTGCGATCGGGTGCATCACGGATAAACCAAATTATATGTATTAGCACGTTGCAGTGCCATTCATCTTAAATGGCACCCCAATGCACTAAAGCAGCCCTGATGAACATGCATTGCAGCACACCACAGCGTAAGGTAAAGTACTAATGTGCATTGTGGTGCACTGCGTCAGAGTGCTGCATGTCCATTTTTTTTTTTGGTCCATTCCTGTGTATTGGCAGTGGGAATGAATATTAAAAGCCTATCTCCAGGAGATAAAAATGCCCCCCTTGCGACCTCCATGCTGCAAAGATTAAGATCTCAACACTATATTGCCAATAGTATTGGGACGCCTGCCTTTACACGCACATGAACTTTAATGGCATCCCAGTCTTAGTCCGTAGGGTTCAATATTGAGTTGGCCCACCCTTTGCAACTATAACAGCTTTAACTCTTCTGGGAAGGCATCCACAAGGTTTAGGAGTGTGTCTATGGGAATATTGGACCATTTGTGAGGTCAGGTACTGAAGTGGGACGAGAAGGCCGGACTCGCTGTCTCCGCTCCAATTCATCCCTAAAGGTGTTCTATCAGGTTGTAGTCAGGACTCTGTGCAGGCCAATCAAGTTCCTCCACCCCAAACTCCCTCATCCATGTCTTTATGGACCACTGTGCACTGGTGCGAGGTCACGTTGGAACAGGAAGGGGCCATCCCCAAACTGTTCCCACAAAGTTGGGAGCATGAAATTGTCCAAAATGTCTTGGTATGCTGATGCCTTAAGAGTTCCCTTCACTGGAACTAAGGGGCCAAGCCCAACCCCTGAAAAACAACCCCACACCATAATCCCCCCTCCACCAAACTTTACACTTGGCACAATGCAGTCAGACAAGTACCGTTCTCCTGGCAACTGCCAAATCCAGACACGTCCATCAGATTGCCAGACAGAGAAGCATGATTCGTCACTACAGGAGAACACGTCTCCACTTCTCTAGAGTCCAGTGGCGGCGTGCTTTACACCACTGCATCCAACGCTTTGCATTGCACTAGGTGATGGAGGCCTGGATGCAGCTGCTTGACCATAGAAACCCCTTCCATGAAGCTCTCTACACACTGCTGTTGTGCCAATCTGAAGGCCACACGAAGTTTGGAGGTCGGTAGCTACCGACTCCATAGACAGTTGCCGACTTCTGCGCAATGTGAGCTTCAGCATGCGCTGACCCCGCTCTGTCATTTTACGTGGCCTACCACTTCATGGCTGAGTTGCTGTTCCCAGTTGCTTCCACTTTGTTATAATACCACTAACAGTTGACCGTGGAATATTTAGTAGCAAGGAAACTTCACGGATGGACTTATTGCACAGGTGACAACCTATCACGGTACCACGCTGGAATTCACTGTTCTCCTGAGAGTGACCCATTCTTTCACAAATGTTTGTAGAAGCAGTCTGCATGACTAGGTGCTTGATTCTATACACCTGTGGCCATGGAGGTGATTGGAACACCTGAATCCAATGATTTGGAGGGGGGTCCCAATACTTTTGGCAATCTAGTGTATGTCTACGGTACCTATGAAAATTTATAATACCACTAACAGTTGACCGTGGAATATTTAGTAGCAAGGAAACTTCACGGATGGACTTATTGCACAGGTGACAACCTATCACGGTACCACGCTGGAATTCACTGTTCTCCTGAGAGTGACCCATTCTTTCACAAATGTTTGTAGAAGCAGTCTGCATGACTAGGTGCTTGATTCTATACACCTGTGGCCATGGAGGTGATTGGAACACCTGAATCCAATGATTTGGAGGGGGGTCCCAATACTTTTGGCAATCTAGTGTATGTCTACGGTACCTATGAAAAGGACTTTTGCCTACCCTAGAGGTCAGTACTCACCTCATCTTCCCTACGCTGACTTATGGACTATCCCTTGGCATCCTCTTCTATATTGCAGGTCTATGGGCCTTGTATTGTATGTAATGACATCAACGGGACGAGAGCATAGGGAAAAGGAGGCTCCGCGGGTGCCGATTTCTGGAGAATATATATCTATCTATATATACACACATATATTTTGTTAGTCCAATAAGAAAGGTATCATTGCACACTGCAATACTGTGTTTTTGTCTTTTTTGACATCTTGTCTACTGGACTAATACTGCTTACCCATTTATATTGAAAGAGATAGA